CTAAACCCGTGTGCAGGGCCCACCTCCATGGATCCCGAACCTCCGGAGCCCTCGGCCGGGCCTGGTGCGCAGGGTGCCGGCGCGGGAGGCGACTCAGGTACTGCAGGTCCCTGCATGGCGCCGTTTCGGGAGTGAATCCGGGCGAGTCTGCGGACAGGGTCTGGGTTTTCCGGCCCGGCCACCCGCGTCCTGCTGCCCGGCCCGGTTCTGCTAGGATCTTGACTTGTGGCTCGGCTCGCGTTGGGAGCACGTTTCAAGCACATTGCATGAGTTGGGGAGTCCTCCCAGATCCCCGGGACCCCCTGTTACAGGGGAGGGGCCCCTGCAGCTCCCGCCGGGTGGCCGGGGTGTTCCCGTCACCTGGAGACCCGTCACTGAGACCTGCCGCGAACACCGACCGTCCGTGCGCATTTTATAAACATGCAAAAGCTCTTGGCATGTGCTCTGCTGCACGACCTCACTTCGTATCCAGCCCCAGGGAGGACTGAGATAGGTTATAGATGGGGAACCCGAGACCCAGAGCGGTTAGCGGACTTGCTTGGTGTTATCCCGCTAAGAAATAGAGCGCCAAGGTGCCAGTCCAGGCCGCCTGATTGCAGACCTGCCTTTGGACATCCATGCGGGACTGCCGTCATCGCACACTGTCCTTCAGGTAGCGGGGGACCAAGCAGATACCCAGGAAACAAATGGAATGATCGGGTACTGTTTCTCAAGCTTCCCTCATTATTCTTTCTCCACAGACGCCTTAAAAAGACATTTTCCCCTCTAATACCCCCTCCCCATGAAAATTTCTTTTAAGTATATATATATATATTTATTGAGGAAGGGAGAGGGAGAGAGAGAGATAGAAACACCAATGATGAGGGAGAATCATGGATCGGCTGCCTCCTGCACGCCCCCTACTGGGGATCAAGCCTACAACCCGGGCATGTGCCCTTGACTGGACTCGAACCCGGGACCCTTCAGTGCAGCAGTCGCCAACCTTTTGGACCTCAGGGACCACCAGTGGTCCGCAGACCACCGGTTGGGGACCGCTGCTCAGTCCACAGGCTGATGCTCTATCCACTGAGCCAAACCAGCGAGGGCCCCATGAAACTGTAATACCACTGATAGACTGTATCTGCCCTTGTGCTGTGGCCCTTTGGAGGGCCAGAAACCTTTTCAAGTTCTGAGATTTTCCTCCTCCCCTTCCTCTACCCAGAACCCATTTTCACTTCTTTAGGGGCAGTGTGGTCCCCATGTGTCCCAGGATGATATAACAAGTGACAGTGTACAGAATATTGAGAGAATTCCAGTTTGAGCAAAGTTATTATGGACGAATGAATTCATTTGCTCAATAACCATGAAGTACTTTGTTCACGACCATGGAGCAGGAAATGTATGGGAAATCCAGAAGTCCCAGGGTAGGCAGGCAGGGCTAGGGAGGTTGTATGTGGGAATGGAGATTGGAAATGCCCTATGGAGTGTCTGAATCTTGAAGGGTAGATAGACCGACCCGGGAGGAAATTAAAGAAACAGTTTGAACACAGACTTGGAGGAGCTGGAAAAGGGAAGACCTGTGTGGATAGAATTCATGAAATGTGGGCGGAAGGGACTAGTAGAATATAAAACTGGGAAAGATTTTCTGGGGAAAGCCAGATGAGGAGGGCCTGGATTGCGAAGCCAAATCATTGAACTGTAGATAGTAAGAAGAAGAAAAAAGCCCGTGGAAGTTTTTGAGCAGGTGGTGATGACACATTGAGGAATAAGATGGAGACAAGGACATTAATTAGATTGTCTCAGTAGTTTAGGCTGCAGGTAAGTGGATTCTGTACTAACAAGTGAAATGGCAGTGGAAACGCAAAGGAGAGGATTTAAGTCAGGGTCTCCCTCCAACTCCCACCTACAGAAACGTCAGGAATGCAGATGAGCGACATGAACTGGGTGGGGACCCTGGAGAGCTTAGCGGCCCTTTCTTAGCTCCAGCTGATTGTTGCCCTGCTTGAGTGGTCTCCAAAAAAATATGACCAAGAGGTTCGAGAGATCCAACATTGTATATTTGCCTATTTTAAGTGTTGATTTCTAACTTCCATTTTTAAAAAAAGTGTTTCTTTTTAAAAAAAATTTTTTTTATTGATTTCAGAGAGGAAGGAAGAGGGAAAGAGATAGAAACATCAATGATGACAGACTCATTGATCTCGGCTGCCTCCTGCATGCTCCCTACTGGGGATCGAGCCCACAACCCGGGCATGGGCCCTTGACCAGAATGAACCTGGGATCCTTCAGTCCACAGGCCAACACTCTATCCACTGAGCCAAACTGGCTAGTACTAACTTCAGTCGTTTGTGGTAAACACCTAACGTCCATTTTTTAATTAATTAATTTTTTAAAAAATATTTTTATTGATTTCAGAGAGGAAGGGAGAGGGAGAGAGAAATAGAAACATCCATGATGAGAGAGAATCATGGATTGGCTGCCTCCTGCAAGTCCCCCACTGGGAATCGAGCCCACAATGCGGGCTTGTGCCCTTGACCGGAATCGAACCTGGGACCTTTCAGTTTGTGGGCTGACACTCTATCCACTGAGCCAAACCGGCTAGGGACAATGTCCGTTTTTTTAAAGCATATTCTGTGAGCCAATCAAAATATGTCTATGGGCCAAAGGTGGTTAGGACTGAGTTTGCAACCTCTTGTGTAGTGACATAGAATCAAGGGAGAGTGTCAAACAGGGGATGCTCTTTTTGTAAGCTATAAAGGGGGTGAAGGGAATAAGTGCCAACTAAAACCAGTGTTCTTGGCAGTTGGAGATTATAGGTGACTTTCATTTAACATTTATTCCACCGGTATTTGTTGAGCACTTACTAAGCCCAGTAGATAAAACAGGGAACAAAGCAGACAGTACTTTTCTGCGCCCTGGGAGTTTATATTCTGGTGGGTAGACACAGAGAAACAAACAAATGAGTAATATGCCAAGCCTGGCCGGTGTGGCTCAGTAGTTGAGCATCGACCCATGAATCAGAAGGTGACGGTTTGATTCTAGGTTAGGACACATGCCTGGGTTTCCCACTCGAGTCCCAGTTGGGGGCACGCAGGAAGCGGCTGATCAATGATTCTCATCATTGATATTTCTATCTCCCTCTCTCTGAAATCAATAAAAACACATTTTAAAAAAATGACAACAGCCAGCATGACAATAGCTGTCTTGTGTAAATGAATCAAAATTATACGTATTTTTTTGTCAGATCAGCAAAAATATATATTTTTTGGTGTTTCTCCTTGTCTCTCTCTCTCTCAAATCAATAAATTTTTAAAAAGATTTTGTCATTTGTAGTATTCTCTTTAGAAGTTTACTACAAATGATTTTGTCCACTAGTGACAGGCCCTCTTTCAGACTTCCAAATTTTTACTACTCTAAGCAGTGCTGCAGTGAAATCTTTTGATTGTTGCTTTGTGCATATGCGTGAGAGTTTCTCTGGGGTATGAATCTAGGAGTGACATTGCTGGGTTATGGCTATATTTTCAGTGTTACAGCCTGTTGCACATAGCTCACCTGGAGTGGTTGTTCCAATTAATGTTATGCAATTTCATATCCTTGTCATCACTTGGTTTAGTCAGATCTTGGGGAATGCAAGCTGCTTCCAGGCGTTTTTCTCGGCATCCTTTGCCCCCTCCTGGCAGCAAGAAGCACTGCCAGCAGTAGGGATATGCAAACGCGCAGTGCTCTGCTGGGAGCTGGGGGTAGGACATTCACCTCTACGGCAAAAATTCACTTTGAGACCAGAATTTCCCTATTTCCTGAGCTGTCGAGGAATGTGCCATTGGGGAGCTCTCCTAGGGAAGGATTAGACTGGATTGGGGGGAGAAATGAAAATGCAGAATTTTATATGAGGAACAGCTTTCAGGCTGCTTTTGTTTTTGTTTTAAATATATTTTTATTGATATAGAGGAAGGGAGAGAGAGATAGAAACATTAATGATGAGAGAGAATCATGGATCGGCTGCCTCCTGCACAATCCCTACTGGGAATTGAGCTCGCAACCTGGGATGTGCCCTTGACCGGAATCAAACCCGGGACCTTTCAGTCCGCAGGCCGACGCTCTATCCACTGAGCCACCAGCCTGATATCGCAGGACCTCCAGGAATGGTGCGGTCTCCCTTTTGGGACAGAGGCCAGTTAAAGTGCAGACTGTTGGCAATTCACTGTACCTTTCAGTTTTTTTGGGAAAAAATTTAAGGTGAACCTGCTATTTCCTCTTTTTCTTTTTTAATGTATTTTATTGATTTTTTTACAGAGAGGAAGGAAGAGGGATAGAGAGTTAGAAACATCGATGAGAGAGAAACATTGATCAGCTGCCTCCTGCACACCCCCTACTGGAGATGTGCCCGCAATCAAGGTACATGCCCTTGACCGGAATCGAACCTGGGACCTTTTAGTCCACAGGCCAACGCTCTATCCACTGAGCCAGACCAGCTAGGGCTGTGCTTACCATTTAACATCTGATAAGTTATCTCCCAGAGGGTACTTTAGCAAGTAGATTTTTGGCACAGGGAGATTGAAAAAAGACTTGCTCCATCCATTCC